GAGAGATTGAATGAATAAGAAAGTAATTTGTGTTTAAAAAGGTAGAGCAACACTCTTTGAGATAGTTTTTGCATGAGATATATATTGTAATGATGAATTAATTATTGAAAGTATTGCATATAACTTGTATTTATGGATTGAATAGAATTCATTTGATTGAACAAAAATAGTCTGAAGTTTAATCTTCATTAGATTTGTTATCTGTAATATCTGGTGAACAATATTGATCTCAAAATCTTAAGTCTTCATTTTGTCAGTTTTATTGTTCATAGTTTTATTCAATTCGATAATTTCGTTGTTCATAACTGTATCTTCAATATTATGAATAGCAACTGCAGAACTCTGATCTCAGATTCCTATTTTGCATTACTTTCTTAGCATTGCTGAATAGCATTAAGTTTAAAGTTTCCAACTTGTACTGTTCTGATTCCATTGCCTTTAACATGAATAGCTCTAAGCCTAAACCTTATTCCACTAATTTTGCCTCATTTTAAAATTTTATCTTCATTGCTAAATAACAGTGTTACAAGTTTCCAAAGTTTTCACAATGCTAATTTTGGTCTCTTATTTCCAACATTGCTCTATATGCTCTATAGTTCTAGATCTTCAATCCTCATTAATTTTAGTATCCATAGCTTCATCCTAAGCATTGTTGAACAGCATAAGCTTCCAAAGTTTATACCGTGCTAATTTCATTGCCCTTAACATTACTGAATAGCACTAGATGTAAGTCTCCATTCTCCATTTCACTAATCTTGTTTCCAACATTGCTAAATAAATATAATTTTGCTTCTCAGCATTGATGAATAGCTTTAAGTCTAAATTCAGTTCAGTCCTCAAGCTGTCCACTAATTTTAGTGCCAATTCATCTTCAATACTGCTGAACAACAGTAGTATAAGTTTCCAATTTTCTGTTAATTTCTATTGTTCACTCATTTGTTCTCAACACTACTGAATGACATTAGATATAAGTCTTTAGCTACCCATTATACTTTGTTAATTTTGGTATCCATAACTTTATCCTCAGCACTGAATAGGATAAGTCTCCAATTTCCATTATTATAATTTGAATTCCCATTGCTTTATCTTGATATATCAAATTTTCCATTCTATTAATTTTCCTTCCTTATCAATTATTTACTTTTGTTCTCAGCATTCAGGATATTGCGCTTAAAAAAGAAGTTGAGAAGATGAATAAAACATACAAAAATTTCATTATAAATCACCCCGTTGCAACGATCCACGAATTTAAGGGTATCTTCAATGCTTAAGTCTCTTCAATACTTACTTTCTCTCGAAGACGATGACCATAAGGACGTTGGATTCTCGCGGAACAAATGATCCAAAGACTTTTACGACGGCCGTTCTTATAATGACTTCCGCCCATGGTAGACGCGGTCATGTAGATGCGATATTACCGGCCTTCTCAGGACACGTCGATTTGATGGCCGTTTTATGGCTGCTTGTACTTAGACTTGGGTGCACGTTCTCCCGGGCTCGTTAGACCGGCTTGTCGTCGAGCATAAGGCGAGTCTTGTTAATGTAATACATGGTCGGGCCTTATGGGCGTCTTGTTTGAAAGGGGAGGATGATTGAAGGACTAATAGAAACATCTGAAAGAGATTCGAAATGATGAATATATAAAGAAATCAATGTACTCTTCTTCAGTGTGTCAGCGAAGCACGTCCTATTCCATTCCACATTTTTTCTCAGACCCATCTTATTGATAAATAAAGAAAATGAATAAGAAATCTGAACCATTCTTTCCTTACCATTCTTCTGCAATCATCAATATACATTTACACTTCTTATTCAACTTCTAATAAAAGTATTACAATTTCTTTCTTCAACTTACAATTTCAATATACGATATTATTGTATAAATAAAATTAAACAGACATTGGATCCTTCCTCGATATCTCGTGAATATAATGCAAGCCTTATGTATATACACGTATAACTGTACAGACACAACAACCATTGTAGAACCATTTCTCTACAACATACACACACATACACACAAAAAAAAAGGAAAAAGAAAACACGAGGAGCAAACAAGGAGGGAAAAGAGACAGAAGCAAAACGAAAGAATAGAGGGATCGCATCCGTGATGGAAGCCTTGAGTCCAATGGGCAGATATGCATCTGATGTCCCCTTTTTCCCTCAGGTGGCGCCCGCAGGTAACCGTTATCGATCTCGCAAATAATAGCGGCCATGTACCAGTCGACGTATCCATCCGCGTAACGAGGCTGGATATGCGCGACCACACTACCTATCCGCCACCCTTCCTTGCCTCTCCAGTGTTCCATACGTGACCCGGATGGAGGTTGGACTTAAAGGGAAGTAACACATTCGCGGTGTCACACGGAGTGCGACCACGACGCGGCTATGGATGTCGATCGTCACACCGATCGACGATTATTGTCGATCATCCTGAGAGTGGAGAAGAAGGGGGTGGGGGGAATGATGATGATGATGATGACGATGATCGAGGACGATGAACGTCGTTCCTTTGTTGGTTTAGGATTGTAGGTCGGCCTACATGATCGTTCGAGGGTGGAGATCGACAAAGGAAGTTTGTGTCATGATTGGGGGAATATTGAGTGCGAATAGTGTCATCTTGGAAGGGATTGTTTGGTGATGTATATGTACCTTGTTGGGATGAGGAGACTAATTTTTTTGTAAAGAATGTTACAGATCTTCAATATCTGTCATTCTTAATCTTGTTTACAAGAAATGGGAATTGAAGATCTGGTTATCTTATGCCTTCTAAATGATATCATGTATTTTGGAAATGAGTATGTCATTAAGTATTCTCTTCTAGATTTTTTGTACTTTTTTTTTTTTAATTTTCCATAAATGTATAAACATTTGCTTTTTATTCAAACTGATTCTAAAATTCTAGAGATGAAGTTTTAGTTTTTTTTAAATTAATTATTTATCAAAAGAAATTTAAAAGTAAAAGATCAACCGTCTTTGATATTTAGTAGGTTCTAGTTTTTTATGAATATCGAATAACTTTCTAAAATGAGAATATCGATTCATTGGCGATGTTGAATAGACCGCAATTAACACAGAACGTTTTTCAAAGTAAAGAACACTTGCGACTGAATTATATCGCGTTAAATTCGTTTCCTTTGATTAAAATATAAATAAAGAGAAAAAGGAAACGTGAGAATTTACGAGGAACGTTTGAACATAGTTATGCCTTACTCCACTTGGTTTACAGTTTGTTTTTGTTCGTTAAATGATTCCTATTTCACTGTGAATCTCGCTTCTTTTTTTTTTGAAATTAAGCTGCTTGATATTCGCAATCGTTGTTGAACAGAAAATATTTTTATGATTTAAATCAATAATCACAATGCAATGTACAATTTTTGAAACTTTGTTTGATTCTTTTATTAGAAGCAATTTATTATCTAGAAAAATAGTATAATCATGTTCTTGACTAAAAGTTTGAACATTGCTAAATTATCATCTACAAATTAATTCTATAAGAAATTATAGGGATCCATTTAAAAAAAAAGTGCACTTGAATCAATACAAAATAAAATCACCCATCATTCAATCTCATTTAGTTTTATCTATCTTAAATCATTTCAAAAATATAGCAAATCAGTATAATATATTATAGAATATTTATAAATTGTATAGCAAAATATTGAATATAAATTATTTACATGACATACTGCAAATGTTTATACATTTGTGACAATTCTAAAATTTGCTTAAACATCCTCATCCCAGCAACAATGCTACAAGTAACAAACAATTGAATAAACCATCTTATCACACCTGTATATCCACAAATCGCAATCAAAATTCATAGGACAACATAAAAAGAAACCAGGCTAATTTTAATCGTATCCATCCGGCTAATCGGTTCAACAATAGCGTCAATAAATTGAAAATTAGAAATTCCTTTGGGTAATAAGTAAATCATTACGCCCGGTTTATAACACGATCTATCGAGGGTCGTCTAATTTTCACATCCTGGTATATGGAATAGCACACGCGTGGCTTTATCAACACCGATCGGCCAGAATGCGTTTATGCATGGCCATTGTTCCAAACGTTCCTATGGCCGCGCACCAGCAAAGACACGCTCATTCTGTTAACCATATATACCGTACATGTGATTACCTCTTCGGCCCTCTCTCTTTGGATCGACCATGATCGCATGGTTTCTCCGATTTCGCGTCTCGTCTGTCGGATACTCGACCCAAGCTCGATCGAATTAGTACACTTGTCAGAAGACCGGCGGATCGGTGATTAGAGCTTCCTAGAAGATATGATAATGTCAGGATACGAAGTCACAAAGGAACTATATGTCTTACTGTAGCTAGATAATGTACTTACGTTTAAGTTTTATTTTTTTGATTACTAATAATTGAATGGTTATGATTAAGTGAATTGATTGCTGATTATAAATTTATAATTATTGTTTTGAAAGATATGGTAATATCAGATGAAAAGAAACTATTATCTTAGGTTAATGATAGTTTGAGGATATACTTACATAGGTATTTTTGAGGTAAGATAGAAGATATTTTTTTCTTTCTGTTCATATCAGAATGAAGTGTGAATCGCTGATTGAAGATGATTCTAAAACATAAGAAAGGAATTGTTAGTATGTTAATTAATGATTTGATTACAATTTGATGATTTACTTACATAGATAAAATTGAGCTAAGGTGTTAAATAGAGATGTTAAATGTCAATACCATTTTTTTATTATATTGCATAACAATGAAAACAAAGTTAACAAAAATAAGCTTATCCTATAGATATAATATAATAAAATAGATCTTACCTTTATTTCTAAATATTATCTTTCTAATTGTTTTCTCCCATTCTTCCAATGTTCAGAACTTTTTTTTGACAATTCTTGAAGAATTTGTGGTCTTACTATAAATATAATTATTTCAATTTTATTTTTTTTATTTATATAATATAATCTGTATATATATAGATAGTTCTTTAAAGAATTGACTGCGTTACAGTGATTCATGATGGTTGAGTTTAAAATTAATTTAGAAAAAAATAAAATAAATATCATGCTAATTAATATTTTTATAATTATATATACTTACAAATGGTACAATTTTATTTTTTTATTTTCAGTCCTCGTATTTCCTGAAAATTAAAAAATTTTTTATATTAGTTATAAATATAAGTCCATAAAAAGAAGAAAATCCAGGAAATTCATGGCGTAAGTTTAATAAATCAGGATGAAACTTTATTACGTGGCAAGTCTTAAGACGACGATTGGGTTTATGATGCATCAATCGCCCCCGTTCTGGAACTTGGAGTTCTTCTGATCCTTATAAATTTTCGAATTTTACAGTTTCCCAAGTTTTAAAACCACGTAATTAATTTAATGCGGAAAAGTTATACAGGAATTTGTTTAACTATCCGAATAACGAAAGAGTCACGCCTCCCTGAAATAAAATTTTATAAAATAAGTTTCAACTAGATGTCGAAAAGCTATAAATTTTAATATTACTACGAATTGGTATGAATACAATTTTTTTCAATTAATTAAAAAAAAAATATCGTTTTTATTTCACACGAATATTAAAATAAAATTGATTTTATATGTTATGTATATTGTAATCGTGAATATAAAGTAATCTTGCGCTCGACTATTCAATTTTTGGTATGAATATAAATGAAAAATATCCGATGGACACGGAAAATAATTTATATCCACATTTTGAAAATATGTGGATACAAATACGTGTCAGTTTAAATATTAATATTCTTCACGAGTGCATATTAATCAGATAATTATAAACAGTCACATTGCATAACATAATATCTTATTAGCATTAAAAAAACATCAGATCGAACAAAATAATAATGATAAAAAATCTCAGTATTGTTGATCAATCAATATTACAATAATATCAAAAAAGAAAAATTTTTTCCTATTACACATCTTTGAAATATTTTACAAATTATGCATTTATGAAAAATTTAAATGCACAAAAATTTATAAAAATACAACATAAAAATACAAACATAATATGCAAAAAGAGATAAAACATCATATGATATTTAAAGTGTGAAAGATAAATTTTCATTTCAATTTCAATTCATAAAAATTTTAATTCGCTTAAAATACTTATTAAACTTCCTCAATAAATTTTTTTCAAACTACTTTCTTTTTCAAATTACAGTAAGTTTCTTATTACGAATTCTCTCATATATTTTCTCAAATTACTTTTCTTCCACAAATATTTGATTTTTTCCACGGAATCACTTTCAACCATTTTACTCGTTGCATATTTGTTAATTAACCGAGTTCATTAAATTTTCACGTTTCTAGATAGAACAAAAACTCGTGAAAAAAAAGTCTTAAATAGTTCGAAAGTATTCGCGTCTATGTTCACGCTGAAAACTCATCGATATTTAATTAGCTTTTCGACTCGATAGTTCGTCGTAGAGGGAGCGCGTATCGTCAAAGGCAACCGTGGTTCGTTCAGCATTTGTCGTCGATCACGTTTCCACGTGGAAATTTGCGGTAATACAGCTCGTCAGATTCGTGACTATTAACAGGTTTAGTCAATCACCATAGTAATTATGTGCACGCGATATAAACCTCACGAGCGTAAATGACGGCGTGGCAAACGAGCGTGCACTTGTATTATGTTGAAATATGTAGATGTATGTACACATGTACGAGAGAGTCTATAGAACGACATTTAATCAAAACGGAACCTAAAACGAATCAAGAGACAAATGTGAATCACGAATCAGTAGATATTAATCTTCTTAATTACAGAGAACGTCTTTTATTATCGTAATTGGTATAAAGAATATAATGTGTTAGGTTAGGAAAGCGATTTGTTATTTCGAATGAAATATCAAGTCTATTTTTAATTAAAATCATGAAAATTCTCGATTTTATAATAATATTGAAAAACGATTTTCACATTTTTCACAAATTCGCCTTTCGTTTTGTATATGTGTTCAGTACAGTATTGTCATCAGTCTATACAGTCATTCTAGATTGAATTTTATAATTGTTTTTTGTAAAATGAAAATCAATATTCGCTTCAATTTTTGGTGCGTATTGAATACGTTAATTTTGTTGTTAATTTGAACGAAATGATTTATTTTTATTAAAATTATGGAAATCGATGTAAATTCTCGAATAAAAATTTTATATTTTCTATTTTTTAATAAATTTTGTTTTTTAGTATTACCAAATTATATTTAGCAATTATATTTTCAAAGCATCATAATACTACAAATACACCTATATCTGTTCATAAAATAACATTAAGCCAATATAAAAAAAGATAGACTATAATAACTCTTATCCAATGTAATGCATCAATCAATATCGTTATATTTAATACCTATAAATCGAAAGTAACCTTTGTAAATATGTACTTCAAAAATTTTCATCACAGTCCATCACACCTGTTGCATCTATGATATAATTAGATAATGCACATTAGTTTCCGAACCTCATTACTTGCCAGGTAACTTATAAGATGTATAGTGAATTATTAAGCTTCTAATTATTCGAACGTTTTATCATGGCGGTGCTGTTGCAATTTTACACTCTCACAGAATAATTTATTAGTGATTCTCAAGTTTCTAATTAAAAATTATAGCAGTCTCTTAGAATCTTATACATGTAATACATTTTATTTCCAATCACATCAATTTGTAATAAAAATAATATGTAAATTATTATACTAATTTTTAATAATTTTAACTATTTTATCAATTAATAAAGTCGAATTTGAAATTGATCAAATTTAATTATTATTAACATTAAATTTAACAGTGATAATTTAATTTTCATCTATGTTTTTTTTTTTACATTATATCTATAAAATATATAATGTGATTGACAGAGATAGAACTATTACAAAGAAAAATATTCGAAAGTTTTAAAATTTACATATTGAATATTTTATTATCAATTAAATTAATCAAATTAATGATATCTTTGTCTAAATAAATATATAAGTAAGAAAAAAGAGAGAAAAAAATGAATGAAAAATTGACAAGAGGAGAATCGACATGAGAGAACGTGGAATAATTTGGCCATGTTCGAATCTCCGTGAAATGTGAACGAGCAAACGTGGCTTACAATAGTCATCCGTTGTTTAGATGCGGCGAAACGGAACACACCTCAGCGTATATTCTACTATGCGTATTATGCGAGCGAATTTACAAACGCGGACAAATACGAGAGAGAAATGGTGATCGAACGTGTCGCGTAACTCTTTGATCTATTACGATCGCGGGAATAGTTCATTGGCAATTCTGAGTTATTCGACGGTACGATGAGGATGCCGGCGATTGGTCGATGGTAGTTGGATAGGATTGGATGAACCTATTCGATCTTTCTCGACCACGCGCAACGATTTCGATAAAGCGTCAGGTCAATCGATAATCGAAATTTCTATGGTTTTTTAATCATTATGGAAAATTAAATATATTTATCTAATATTGTTGATTTAAAAAAAAATTTAATTACAATACTTATATTATGATATTAATATTTTAATTTGACTTGAAATGATTGGAAAATAATTATTATATATTTGAAAATATATATACATATATACATATACATATATAGTATATTTGAGACGTGTAATACAATAATTAGATTGAAGATTATGGTGCTAAGAATTAGATTGTTGTTTTTAAAATAACCTAACCTAAATTTGAAGACAGTTATTGAAAGTATTACTTATAATTATATTAATTTATTTTAACGTTTTAATGAAAAAAATGTTTTATGAATATTTTTCATGAAAAAATGTTTTGCAATTTTATAGAAAGAATACAAAAATTATAGAAAGTATATTAATTTTTTACGAAGCTATAACAAATTAAATTTATAAAAAGAACATGATTTTCTCATCACATTTATATCTAGATATCTTGGAAATATTTAGGCTTTTGTGATATTCTTAATTTATTCATTTACCGAGGATAGTCGAAATTCTAATTAAAACTCAAAGAATTTACAGATCTTTTTTGCATGCCAAAAATGGTTGATGCGCGTCACTGCAAAGAAGGGTCCTGAAGCGTGCTCAAATTAGAATTCTTTCGGACTTTAGTAATTTTGCACGTGGTGTGCCAACTAATTTTCAAACATCGTCGTCTTGCTAAGAAAGGAAGCTTATTACGATCCTCTAATGAAGTGGTAATTAATAATATATCGAAAAATATATTAAAAAAGAAATTTTCAAAAAATTTTAAAAGCTGAAATTGTACAAAATTCTTTGAAAAATTTTTTCGAAATTAATTTTAAGATTTCAGTGATTTAATTGTATATAATATATATATAATACTCAATTAAAGAATTGCAAGTATTTAATTTTAGATATTAATTTTTTTTTTTCTTTTTCAGGTATATTACACGAATTTTTCATGGAATATGATTGTGATGAATATATCATAATGTAAGTCTTTTATTTACATAATTCATATGTAACTTCATTTTTCATATGATAACTTCATTATTAATTTTGTTCCATTGATTTTATAAGACTTAATAATTTAAAATATTTTTTATTAATATTTACAAAGTACTTTTCATTAATTTAATTTGTATAAAAAATAAAATCTAAAATTTAAATCTATTTGAAATTTAATCTTAATTTAACCTTATTCTTCTTAGCCAATTCTGAAAAAAACAAATTATAAAGCTATATTAAAAAAAAAAAAAAAAAAAAAAAAACTAAAATTCTAAAAAATAGATCCTTTTAAATAATATTCCTCTAAAAAAAAATATTCGATACATTATTTATTATACATTATTTGTATTTGTATTATTTGTATATGTACCACAATATTTTAACTTAAAATCTCCATTGCTTTTGCCAACAACAGCTTTTAATTTAATTTTATAATTTATATATTTAAAAGACTTCTATGATTGCTAATATCAAAAGAACTCTAAACTTAACTTAATCATTCCTTTATTATATTATATTTAATTCTTCATTGTTTTTCTTAAATAGCTTCTTCTTAATTTTTCAATAAATTACATAAAAATTTCTATTAGCAACATTAAAAGATCTCTAAATTAAATTTATTAAATATTATCATTTCTACTAAATCTTATCATTTTTAAATATATTTACATTATATTTAAACACAGAATTTTTATTACATTTGTCAATTATTTAATCTCACAATAAATTACACAAAGATTTCTACGATTGTCAACATTAAAAGATTTCTAAACTAAATTTTAACTTAATCTCATCTAATTCATCATTTCCTTATCTATTTCTACATATTTATATATTATATTTAATCATAAAATCTTCATTATTTTTGTCAACATAAAGTACTCTAGTAAGAAGTAATACTTCTTACTTAACCTCAAAATAAATTACATAAAGCTTTTATAACATTGAAAGATTTCTAAATTCTTAATTTAATCTCACTATATCTAATCAAGCATTCTTTTATCTCTTTCCTTCTTTCATTTATTTCATATCAGATTAAATAACACATCCGTATTCGAAACTTTCCATCACTGCGAAAACTTTTCACCGACTGACATGTACATCCAAACCGAAAGGAAGTCAATGCTGCCATTCCACATTGGATCTTTCATTTCTAAAAGATCCATTTGCTCCGTCTCCACGTAATTACACTCAGATTAATCGGATTACAGGGGTGTCGAGGCAAATACGAACGAGCAATGGCCACGAGGAACGTTTTACTATCGTTCTCCTAATTTTGAGAATGTCGGTATCCCGAACGGCGCCTGGAAACCGGCGAACAAAGTTTTCGGCACGTTGAATCGTTTCTTGTCCGGGCTGACAACTTAGACGTTGCGACGCGGATATTGTTTCCACGAAAAGTTGCCGTGTCTTTCGTGTTTTGCGCCTTTCGCTCTTCGTCATTTTTCCAAGGATGAGTCGTAAGAACGCGTTGAAGACAAAGACAAAGTTGTTTTGCTTAAATACAGAAGTAGTTTGTGATTATGGTAGATAATGGCTAGGCGTCTAGATCCGTAACGGATGCCTGTGTCGAAAAGTTTCGCCATTTATCCTCACGGTGAGAATTCGCTGACGATGGAATAAACGCGTATAAGAGGTTAGTCGCGAATCTTTTTGCAATCGTCCACGGATGATGAAGTTCGATCTTTATGCGCGTGGATAGTATATAAGATTTTGCGCAGGAAGAACGCTAGGATTTTCAGTGGTAACTTTATGATATCTCTGTTTACGTGGATAAACTTATTTTTCAGTCATATTTTTGAGTATAATATATCATTTGGAATAATAATAGAATTTTTATGTTGTTTGTATATTAATTCGAATTACTTAAGACGTATCTTAAAAATGTATGAATATTTTAAATAATTTAAATTATAATTATAGGAATATTTAGGGATATTTTTTAAGTAACGTTGCTTTTATATAACCAATGAAGTTTTGCTATCTATATTTTCGAAGATGAAATTATTTTTGATCTAGTAATGAAATATCATCGTTTGTAATAAGTTTTGTGTTGTTATTTAAATCGTTTAGTTTGCAATTTAAATTTTGATATTTTATTTATTGAAAACTTATTAATAGTTTTTCGATGCTAATTATTGACCAATAAGTTATTAATCAACTTTTCGATTGAATTGATCGTTAATGAATGATAATTATGAATTGGTAGATAAAATATTAAATATGTATGAATTTTCTATATTCGAAATTAAAGATACTTAAGAATATTTTTTAATTTTGAAACCTGATCGTTATTTTTCGTTTGAGATATCGATGTTCATTGAAAATGAATAAAGAATGATTAACTTTAAATGTTAGAAATTAATGTTAAAAATTTGCATTTTTTTTAAATGTAATGGAACGAGTTATATTACTATTGCTCGATTATTTTTAGATAGATTTAAAAAAATTCTTTGAATTTACTTTTTATAATTTTATATCAGTTTTGAAAAAGTATTCTAGACATTATATATATATAATTGTGATAGTGGAACTTTGTGCTTTGCTATTGGCCGACAATGAAAATAAAAGGTGTAACTTGATGTTTTAGAAAGTGATTTATGATCTAAGTCACTAAATGAAAGAATTCTTCAATTCTGTCTTGAAAACTTGATTTTTAGAAAAATGATTTTAAAAAAATTTAATAGTAGTCATTTATATCTATATTTCTAAAAATATTAAATACATTTCACAATTGATACCTTTTTCTTTTTCGAATAGATAAATTTTCAAATTAATACAAATTCAAGGATAAATTTTAAAAATAGATTCGGTTAAAAATTTAAAATTTAATGAAAAATTTTTTTTTAGTAATCATTTATAATTTTGCATATGGAACAATAATATTTTCGATTTCGTTTCCATTTTAATAATTTCATTGTTAAAAATCAATAAAACAAATTTCAGATGTTTCATTAAAATTTTCCTATAAGATGCTAAAAAAGTAATAGAAATTATTAATCTAAAAAATAACGAAGAAATCAAGTCTCTATTATAAACGTTGGTCGTTCTACTTAACAGGTAAAATGAGCTCGTTTAAAAATAAATTAAAATATCGTGCTCTTTCTTTTTTTTGCTTTCTTCAAAAGCAGTTTTAGCATGAAAATTCACCATTCTCTGGCCACGAATCTATTTCACGCTCGTACTTA